ATTCCTGGTGGCTCCCGGTCGTTGGAGGGGGTTCTGTACTGCCGTCTTGGAGATGAGCTGTTTATTTTCTCCAAACGCTCTTGCCGTGAGACCTGGAATGGTCAGTAAACCCGTTCAGGAGAAAAGGATTAAGTGAAGTGCAGGAAAGACCAAAGTGACCGACCCAAGGAATGGCCTATGATGGGAAGGAACTTGGGTAGGTGACTACAGAAACATATTGGAATGTCTTTCAATGATTTGATTATGTAAAAAACAAATTGATTAACCCGATGTGGTGGTCATGTATTAATCTACTGGGCAAGAGGATAAAGAGTTGAAGGAGAGCGGTGTATAGTGGCAGATGCCTTTAATCCCAGCAGTTGCAAGGCAGGAGCAGGAGGATCTTAGAGTTCAACGACAGTGATAGTTTCAGGACAGCCAGAGCTACAGAGTGAGACCATGTCTCAAAAAACCAAAACAAGCAAAAACAACGTTCGAGACTGAGCCTTGGCTATATAGCAAATCCGTGATTCATGCCAATCCAGGCTACATACCATCCTGTTGCAAAATGGGGTGCGAGGGTTAATTGTTTGTACTGTATTTAATAATTCAGAGCAAATGAACTCTAATATTGAGAATCCTTTAGTGTGTCTGTGGGACGTTTGAATCATAAGTGGAAAGTTAAAGGAAAAAGTAATGCTATTTTCAACACAAGAGAAAACAAGTGTTTGTACAATAAGGGGGGAAAAAATCTTCCCCAGCGCTTGGCTCATTAGGAAACAGTACTAAATTCAGCTAACTTAATAAAAAATGAATTGAAGGGGTTGGAGAGATGGCACTGTGATTAAGAACACTGATGTGCTTTTAGAAGACCTGAGTTAATTTCCAGAATCCACATTAGGAGGCTCACAAACACCTGTTGACTCCAGCTACAAGGGATCCAAAGCCCTTTCTATCCTCTTTTGGAGCACACACACCCTGTACATACACACAAAATAAATCTTTTTTGTTGTTCTTTTTCGAGACAGGATGTATCTGTGTTAACAGTCCTTATTGTCCTGGAACTCATTCTGTAGACCAGGCTGGACTTGAACTCACAAAGATCCACCTGCCTCTGCCTCCCGAGTGCTGGTATTCAAGGTGTGCACCACCACCACTCGGCTCAAATAATATCTTTAAAAATGGATTGAAAGCCGGGTGGTGGTGCCTTTAGTCCCAGCACTCGGGGGACAGAGGCAGGCGGATCTCTGTGAGTTCGAGACCAGCCTGGTCTACAAGAGCTAGTTCCAGAACAGCCTCCAAAGCCACAGAGAAAACCTGTCTCAAACCCCCCCCCCCAAAAAAAAATGGATTGAAAACTGGGCAGATGGCTCTTAACCACTAAGCCATGTCTTCAGCCCCTGTTGTGAAGTTCTCATATACTGTTCAGGAAAGCACTGTGAAATGCTTAAAAAACTCTGTTCTTTACAGAGGTCCTAGGTTCAATTTCCAGCACCCACATGGCAGCTCACAATCATCTATAACTGTAGTCCCAGGGAATCCAATGGCCTCTTCTGGTGTGCAGAGATACATGTAGATAAAACACCCATATAAATAAAATAAACAAATAAATCTTAGAAACAAAACTATAAAACTTCACAACATATATGCTGGGGCTTATCAAAATTCCTGAAAAGATATCCAAGACAATAGTTCATGGTTATACTGCATCTAAATAGTTAGAAATGGGCTGGAGGTTCAGCACATACCCAGGACCCAGGGAAAGACAGACAGACAGACAGACAGACAGACAGACACACACACACACACACACACACAGAGAGAGAGAGAGAGAGAGAGAGAGGTCACCAAGTATATAGAAAAAAAAGCAGAGTAACAAAAATATAAACTTGACATTTCACAGGTTGGTTATTTATTGCATTTTCATTCAAGAAATCATTAAAAGCCATCTGTAAGGCATGAGGTTAAAATGATGAGTTAGGTATAAATCTGTCCTCAAAGTGAGCTCACCAACAGTAAATGATATAACGGAAAGTTAAACAAGGTGCTGCTAAGGAAAGATAGCGTCTAAAGTTGGGGTGTGGTTTAAATGTATCCCCTGAAGGTTTGTGTATTGGAAGCTTGATTCCCCTAAACTTGGAAGTAGAACTGGTGGGACTTTTAAGAGGTGGGGACTGGGACTGGGGAGATGCTCAGTCACTAAAGTGCTTGCCATGAAAGTGTGAGGACCCACATTTCATCTGAAAGAGAGTTTGGGGAACATAGGTGGACAAGGAAAGAAAAAGCAGGCTCTCTTGTTCCCAGAAGACATTAGAATCGACAGCAGGAAAGCATGGAGACAGGTATCTAAACAGGACCACCCATGATGGGAAGGGGAGATTCCAGGGGCCCTATAAAATACTCAAGCAAGAGTCCATTTAGGAATTCTGACCAGGGATTCTCCCATCCCTAAGGAATAAAGCTGTTACTTTCCCTTTCTCCAGGGCTCAGTCTTCTGTCTTTCCTAGGTGTTCAAATTCTTTGTCCATATCAGGGAGTGAGCTTGATGGCTCCCTAGATGACCACCGTGTCCTTGTTATAGAGCCTTAGAACCCACATAAAGTGCTAATAATCCAGGCATTGGGGAAGAAGAAGATAGATACAATCCCTAGGGATCACTAGCCAGTCAGTCTAGCCTAATTGTAAATTAAGGGTTCTGAGAGACCTCCCTCAAAGGAACCAGATGACATTCCGATAAGGTTGTTCTCTGTACTGTACATGGATATGTTTACACTCAGAGAGAGAGAGAGCGAGAGAGAGAGAGAGAGAGAGAGAGAGAGAGTGCTCAGTGGTTAAAGGTACTTGCCACCAAGCCTGAGGAGCTGAGTTTAATTTCTGGTATCCACATGATGGAGAAGATTGATTCCCAAAAGTTGCCCTCTGACCTCCATACATGGTGCCCGAACATGTGTGTGAACACACATAGTATTTTAAAGGTTTCAATGATTTGTTTTAAAAAGAAGTGAGACCTTATAGAATGTCCTTAGATCACTGAGGCATACCTTTAGGAGTGATTAATGTAGTTAGTACCCTTTGCACAACAGACTCTCTGAATTTCATTCACCTTTGCCATGTATTCTCTCCTCTTATATGCATTCTTCATAATGCCATGTATCGTGAGGTCCTCAACAGAGCACCATTCCCTTCAGTTTCCAGAACTGTGGCAGATTTTTTTTTTTCTGTGTCCTAGCAGCTGCTTCCAAATAACCACTCAGAGACTTAATATTAATTACAAGTTCTCAGTCAATAGCTCAAGCTTGCTACTAGCTAACTAACATTTTAAATGAACCCATGTCTATCCCTTCACTTGCTGCTATGTGGCTCATGGCTTATTATCTCATTTCGTACATATCCTGCTTCCTCTGAGTCTGCCTTGAGACTCCTCAGGGTCTGCCATACTTCCTCCCAGCATTCTCTCTGCCCAAAAAATCCTGCCTAGCTATTGGCCAATCAGCTTTTAGTTAACAATAAGAGCAATATGTATTTACAGTATACAGAGATTGTTTCAGAGCATATCTCCCCTTTTCTCTAGTTAAAAAGGAAGGTTTTAATTTTACCATAGTAAAATTATTTGCAAAAAGAAAAAAACAGTTATCAAGTAAGAATTACAGTTACAATATCCAGCCCATTTGTTGAAGGCAGGTTAAAGGCAGTCCACAATTACCCAGTTAAAGAATTAACAGTGGTGGTGGTGGCGCAGCACTTTAGTCCCAGCACTCGGGAGGCAGAGGCAGGCTGATCTCTGTGGGTTCAAGACCAGCCTGGTCTACAAAAGCTAGTTCCAGGACAGTTTCCAAAGCTACACAGAGAAACCCTGTCCGGAAAAAACAAATTAACAGGTATTTATTTGGGGAGCACTCATGGTAAATAACTGACTGATTTTCTTGCTCCTGGAGATGCAGCCTCTGCCCTTCAGGATGCTCTAACCACAACCCAAGAGAGCAAGCTAGCCCCTCCTCTTTCTTATAAGGGGTCATATCCACACATCTGAAGCCACACCCTAAGGTATGGCTACCATCCCAAGTCCACTGGAAGAACAAGATGCCACTACAATTTGTATTTAGCAAAATTAGAGAAAATACTCTATTATGGGACTAAAGTTTTATACCTAATTTACCTTCTATTACAACTAAGGGAAACTATGACTATTTAGTCTTCAACTCCACCAAAGACCCCAAAAGGGTGAAATTTTACCTAATGACAGGGACATCTGGCTGCCTGGAGAATCACCTACCTAGTTCTTCTGTAACATTGGAGCATCCATCTTTGGTCTACAAGCCTAGTGTATCTGACAGGCTTTTCTGAAATGTAGGAAATTTTGAAGGACTGTTATACCTTGTCTTGGCAAAGTTTGGCAGTTGTTTTTTTTTTTTATTTTTTGCATCCTGCTGGTCCAGTTTGGATGGTATACTGTCAGCACTTGAGGCAAGGTCAGTTTTTTTGTCCAAATGGCTAGCTTTTGCCATAAAGAAAGCAAACTCCATATGGAGGTTCTTCAGTGCCCATCATCTTCTCTGAAGTAAGTTGGTGCTGCCAGGAGCAGACGTGTCTCACTGTCAAGAAAAGTCTTATGTTATTAAAACATTTTAAGTGCTATGTTCTGTAGGTCTTTGAAGTGTTTGAAGACCACATACCTGTCTAAATATATCTTTTTTAACACTAAAAACATACCTAATATGACTACAAGTTTGATTATTGTAGATGACTACCTGTATTCCTTTTATTTTTGTTTTTTTGAGACAGGGTCTCTCTGTATATCTTTGGAGCCTGTCCTGGAACTTGCTTTGTAGACTAGGCTAGTCTGCAACTCACAGAGATCTGCCTGCTTCTGCCTCCCAAGTGCTGGGATTAAAGGCATGCACTAACTACCACTTCCTGGCTTCTATTTCCTAATTATGTGTTATTTTTAAAATGAGCTGTGTAAGCACAATAACCCAAACAAGTAAAATTGCATCAATAAACCAAAATCCATACCAATGTAAAGTATTGTGGGATTAATAGTTGTTTTTAGATTAAAGTATATTCAATAATCTACCCTTTTATCTCATCATTTCTATATCATATCCCCTCTTTTCATTTAGAGAGTTCTTTGAATTTAACCCTTTTGTTTGGATTTTTTTTTTACTATGAACAATAACAACTTGTAACCAACAACCTCCCTTAAATAATGACGAACAT